CCTCAAACTGTGTTGAGTTTGTAGAGTGGAATTTTGCAGATTTTTCTAAATCTCTGCGTATTTCAGAGGCTGAGATGTAAACAAAATCATTCAGAGTGATTTGATATTAAGTGGTTAATTGTAAATAAACTTAAAATTTTGCATTTCTTTAGAGTGGTGGTGATAGGAAACAGGGGTCACGATGTCTACAAGACAAATATAGTTATTTTATTTACTATCCAAAAACACCAGTGAACCTACACACGTCTTCTGAGTTGATGATAGTAAAATGATGGTACATTTGAGAAAATAAGTTGTATTTGGGTATGCACTACATGTACTTTTCTGCAGTTAATGGATTTAAAACAAAAAAAAATGGCAAAACACTTAAACTATCGTAAAACAATGCCTCAGAGATCAGGCAGTGTATTCATAATCATTTCATGTAATTATTCTCTGCGAGGGAGCTTTTAGAGGGTGGACGTCTGGTTCCTATCACCACCACAGTAAACAATTCTGACTTTGTAAATTTCTCTGGAATGGACTGTTTAGTGTTAACCGTTTAATCATGCAGAAATGTTTCAAAAGTAGGTGGAATTCCCCTTTAAGTAATGTCTAGACTTGCTTATGTCCAAAATAGTAGCCTTAAAGCTTGAATTTTGTCTGTACTATTGCCCATTTTTCCAGATAACAGTCTGCAATACAGTGTTAAATAAGCTTATTGCTTATTAGCTTGTTAGCCTAGTAGCTCCAGTGCTAAACTAAAAAAAGAAACTTACCAGTTGTGAGAAGTGTGTAAATCTGACTTTTAAATCATCAGTTTAAGCGCTGAGGCCAATTGTATCATCACTGCAACCTTTTCACTTTCTCCTCCAGAGTACTTCCGAAGCATATAGAGGCCAGTGGGTCCTGATAACCCATAAATGTGAAGAATTGCTCCTCTCAAGGTTTTCCAGAAGTACCAGGTGACTTATGGCCAATGAAGGTCAAAACAGAGAGAGTCTTTAACTTCAGATAATCCTGCTCTAGCAGGAAGCTTTGATAAACTGCATGGGCCGCGTAGCTAATGCAGCTCAATAAAGCGTGTTCAGAACGTTAGGCTAAGATAAGAAGTGGCTAACCTTGAGGCAAATGCTGCAAACGCTACAAGCTGCAATCTAGTTACTCTTTCAGTCACAGCGCCGGTGACAGAAATCGTTTCACGGCCTTCGCTGCCCCTAACAACGTGGAAGAAAATGGAAACGCCAGAGATAGCACTGAGAAGAGCAGCTTTTCAAGGTTAAAGTGACCTCAGAGAAGAAGAATGTGAAGGCAATCCTATTATATCCCCACCCATAGGACTTGTTTATGTCCATTTCTGGCCCAATTCACCACTGAACTGCCTCCAATCACCAATTTGAGCCAAATGCTCTTTCAACACTGTGTCAGCAATAAAATCTCAGACAGTTATTATGTTAAAGGGAAACTCCACCAAATGTCTGCATAATTCGATGGTTGAGATTGAGAAAGTCATTCAGAGTGGCTTGATTTGAGAAGATGTACAGAAATGTACTGACTCAGATTTCTATACAGTGGTGGTGATATTTCATGTAATAAGTTTCTGTGAGGGAGCTTTTAGAGGTGCACATCTGGTTCCTATCACCACCACTGTGAACTATTCTGCCTCTGTTAACATCTTACCTATTTAACTACGTAGTAATTGAGAAAAATTGGTGGAATTCCCCTTTAAGCAACTGTCTTCGGTCATCAGCATGGAAGAAAAATGCTAATAATGCTATTGACAATAATGCTTTGAATTAAATTTTTAATGAAAAAACAAAGCCGTTTAACAAAGTAAGTTTTATATGTGACGTACCCATGGACCTGGGTTGTAACAAACTAAGTAACTGACTAACTAAGTAACTGACTAAGTAAGTAACTAAGTAACTCACTCACTCCCGTTTAGGAAGATTATTCACAAGAGGGTGCTACTGACACTCTAAAAACTTCTATGTTTCAAGACAAGCAGGCTGTCCTATGCTTGCAGCATGTATGTTTGCATTTACAAATCACTCTTCATTACTGTAAGTCAGGGGTCGGCAACCCAAATGTTAAGAAGATTAATTTTGTCTTTTCAGCAAAAATCAAACCACCTTGGGAGCCACAACATTGTATGTCCATTTAACATCTTGGCTGTAAATATGTCTCAAAATGTGTGAATGTACTAGTATAGGCTAAAAATATAAACGAAAACGCAGACTCACTTTGCTCTACTTTAAGCTTTAGCTCAGCTGTAGCTGCTTTTCTTGCATCTCCGGCAGGAAACTTTATCGCAAAAGTAGAACAGTTTCTTGTAAAATATCTCTCAACATTTGACTTTTTACGAGGCTGAAGTCAGCTTCTCATTCGCCAGCTTCTTGTTCAAATTTTCAGCTTCGTGATTTTTTAGTGTTTGACAGTTTCTCGTTGTAGATTAAACATGTCTGGAAACGAGCTGGAGTGCTTATAAAAGCAAATCAATTTGTCTCTAAATTATAATGTTAATCTTAAATTGTTCTCTTTGCCTTTTTGTTAGCTATTAGCTAGGTAAGATTGTTGTCTGCGGTGCTATGTGACCAGCAGTCTGCGTGCCAATCTTCAGTTTTAAAGGCTGGTGAATTAGCAGGTATAGGCTACATTCACTACAGTGTTTAAGAGCATTTAATGTTAAAAGTGTTAGAACAATCATCAGAACTTTATGTTAGTGCAAAGGAGGATTATTTTATTCTTACTTAAAATCAAATTCTGCCGTGAAGCCACAACAGGGCAGTAAAGGAGCTGCATGTTGCCGACCCCTGCTTTAAGTAAATGGATCTAATTGAACCCTTTGTAAGTTCATGAAAGCAGGGAACATTCAATGCTGCTGCTGCAGTACCAAAAACTGCAATGAGTTGAAATTGGCAAAATACTGCTACTACGGCCTTTTAAGGTGAACCAGAAAATCTGAATGAGAAGCTGGTGAGTAAGAAGCCAACTTCAGGGTTGGGGGTGATATAAAAATAGGTTTTTTTGGATATCAGAGTGAGGAACTGCAGGGCCAAAGTGCAGAAGGGTTAATTAGACAGTTCATTCAGTCTGCTTGTACACTATACAGATGGCTAGCTTAATGTTAAATGTACTATCACACACTGGCTAATTAACTAGCTAGATTACTAGCAATCACTCCAGTTCTCAGCCAAGATACAGCGTCTTTGAAGTGTTCACACTCATGTATTTTTAAAGAGATGAACCATGTTTGAACCATGAACCATGCTGAATTTCCCAGTTCAGCCCTGCTCTACAGGTTAAATCAAGGCTTTAGAGATTTACAGAACTTCTGTTGGTCCTAAACTCCCTGTTAAAACCTCAAATTTCTCCCGGAGTTTCTTCGCATCCACATATTCACATCCCCATTATGGATTTGCTCATGTACGTAACTTTTTACACTTTACAAGGAACAAGCTACTTGTAAACCTGCTCAAGGATACGCTGATGTAACTTAGCTAAAATGTACATTTTTTTAAGGTATTGGCATATGTGAACCGCCATGAACTGCATGTACAGCCAGCCACTTCATTAAAGACACCTTCTTATATCTTACATCTACACTGATTTTATCAGCTCCACTTACCATATAGCGCACTTTGTAGTTCTACAATTACAGACTGTAGACCATCTGTTTATCTGCATATTTTGTTTGCCCTCGTTTACCCCTGTTCTTCAATGGTCAGGACCCCAACAGGACCACCACAGAGCAGGTATTATTTAGCTGGTGGATCATTCACAGCAGTGGCACATTAGTGTGTGTTGCACTGCTACATGTGGATCAGACACAGAAGCACTGCTGAGGCCAAAATTTTCCTCTGACCAGGATGCTGTCTGTATGACACTGAGATGTCCACAGCTCATCTAATCATATGAAAACCACAGCCACAAAGGCAGGACAGAATTGATCTTTTCCTCACCAGTACAGTGTTAAAAACATACTTTTTATTATTAGATAAATATGTTTCTATATTGAACTCCAATAAATATTGATTTTTACACAGTACTTCATTAGTTTTATTTATTCTTTATTTGAATGCAATGTACATCATCTGGCATTACAAGAATGAATTTAGCTTAGGAAGAGTTTCATTTTCTCACATTATTCAACCACAACCTACATAAATCAGTTGGGTTATGGTAATGTCCACTGTCATTAGAACTCCAGCAGCACTGCTTTGTTGGATCCACTTATACCAGTGCAACACACACTAACATGCCACCAACATGGGAGTGTCAGTGCGGTGCTGAGAATGATCCACCACCCTAATAATACCTGATCAGTGGTGGTCCTGTGGGCGGACCATTGGCAGATATTGCACCAAATGAGAAATTACAACCATAACATTTAATTTAACGTAACACAGTATCATTTTAATGGTATTCTAATCTAATTTGGCTGTTGAGTCTCTAAGAATCAACTTAGAGCCAAATCAGTGGAAAGATACAGTATTTCTCTACAGCAGATAACATGCCGTTGTAATGCCTCACTGTGGGGAAATACACTGACCAAAAAATTCACACAGATGAATAAACAAGAGACATAAATAAAGCCTGTTGCACTGAATACTTATTTTATTCACAAATAATAAAAGTAAAGAATATTTTCTTTTATATGCTCCTAACAAATGAAAGCAAACAATTGCCTTTAAGTGTAGAAAAAAGCAAAATATAAATATGCGCATAGTTATTATAGCAAGAACACATTATTTACTCCACAAACAAATATGAATTGTCCCATCTAGGCTCTGCCTACAAATGCATTCTCATGTAGCAACTGTTGCTAGGCTGGACAAACTTTACAGAACGCTGGTAAAAATCCCATTTAACCTACTGAGAAACTGTAGCATGAACCTTGAATCAACTTTTCCAATCGATTTAGTCCATTCCACAGTGAAATAATACTGAATGATGAACCCATTATAGTGAGAATCCAGCTTAAATTCACAAAATAATGCTTTTAACACAATCAAGCTACAAAACAGGACATTACGTAGCCTGTACATGGGTTCACTGGGGTCAGTAATCTCTCCCAAAGTGCTTATTCACTTTGCTAATGGAGAGGAAAATTATCAGACTGACCATAAAGTACTGTTTGTGATCCTCCATCCAGTGCAGCTCGATCTCCACCTTCCCCTCTGCATCCTCATACCGCACAAAGAAACTCTCTCCAGTACGGTCATATGAGACTTCTGCCTGCTCTGATGTAGTCATGGCTACAGGAGCACTGACACACCAAAAAGGAATCTGGGCTTCATCAAAAACAGTGAGAGTCAGCATGCAGCAACCCTGAGGAGAATGAATGAACAAATGAATAAATAAATAAACACATACTAACTTCTCCGTATAATTATTATTATTAATGGCAGCAGTGGTAGTATTTTTACTATTACTATTAATAAGATTATCTATATAAATAACTTATTATTATAAGATTAGTGTTACATTAGTGAGATAATCTGATCTAGTAGAAGAATAATCCAAACTTACATGTGTAACAATAATAATAATAATAATAATAATAATAATAATAACAATAATAATAATAATAATAAAGCTCAGATTACATTAGGGGAATAATCCAAACTTATGTGCTGATTAAACGATTCATTGATAATAATTATTATTATATTAATAAATTAAAATAAATAAAATCATTTATTTATTTGTTAGTTGGTCAGTTAGTTTGTTTATTAATTACAACCATATTGTAACTAGGAAGACAAACAAATAAACCAAGCCTAAATTTGCAACTATTAAATGTGAATTCATTTTGTTTCAATTTCAATTGAAACTGAATCTGTTAATATTGATATAAATACCTCTATCTGTCCCTGCAGGGCATCAGTGCGCCAGGGCAGACTGATGCTTCCACACAGAGGAGCGTGTTGGGATCTGTTGCTTTTGCTGATCACTCTCAGCTGTAAATATCCATCAGAAATCTGATCTAGAGAGAGAGAGAGTGAGAAGAGAGAGAGAGAGAGAGAGAGACAGACAGACAGACAGACAGGATGTGTTTTGGGAAAATAAACTTCATATTGGGCTGCGGCAGATTAATATAAGACCTAAAGAAAAACACATAGAATGTGTTTAATTTAAAGTGACTGAGTGCAACAGTTTCTATTTTAATTCATTCTTTTTCGTGTTTTAAATTGGATCCAGCAAATTTATTCTCTCAACTGCAAGAGATTACAAATTAATTTTTAAAAAAATCAGCACAAGAACATAGCAATGGCTATCTTTTTGGTATAAGAAATTATTTTTGGTCATGGTTGTACTGTATATAGTATCATTATATTTGTTACAGACTCAAATACACAGAGATTTGTAATAAAACATGAATATTTCCCTCTGTTCCCTAATAAACCATTGCGTGTCTACATATTCTGGTCATTTCCCAAATGTTCATCATGGGTTGTTTGGGGATAACTAGCAAGAAAGGCTGGATAAAGCTCAGCATTGTAGTGCCCTCTACTGTCTCTGCATGAAAATGCAAACATAAAACTACATCATTCTACTTACTGCCAGTGGTGATCATGGGCTGGAATGCACCAGTTAAATTATAATAGGGGAATATTGCTTATATGCAGGGATCAGTTTGAAGGGGGAGGCAAAATAAAAGTAAAAAAGACAAACATGTCTTTGTAAAACTTCCTTAACCATTTTTTCATCCCTTCACGTTTTTTAAGTGATGATATTATTTATCATTAACATTTATTATTACTGTACAAAGTATTTCTCCAGAACATTCTGTCTTTTGTTTGGGTCTTAGGCTTGTTAATAGCTTGTTCATGATTCCTCTGACTGTTTCCATCCATTTTGTTGCTGGTCGTCCACTTCCTCTTTTACCTTGAACCGTTCCAAAATAACTGTCTTTTCCAATGAAAAGCTTTTTCTCTTATGTCCAAAAGAACAGCTTCAGTTTGGTCATCTGGGTTTCGAGTGAGAGGTGAGGCTTAATTTGGTTGAGAATCCATTATTTATTTTCTTGCCATTTAAAGTTCTCTCAAAAGTCTTCACCACTATCAAAGTTCAAAGGCATCAATATTTCTCCTCATGTCCAGCTTTCACAACCATGAAGAACCACAGAGAAGACCACAGCGTGGACAATTCTGACCTTTGTCATTACAATTGAAGATCTTTCCAAGCTTCTTCATCCTTGTTCTGCTGAGTGCCAATCTGTGTCGTATGTCGAGTGCTGTATCCTTTGTTGTTAATAACTGCTCCGAGCAGGAAAAAGCTGTCCACCATTTCTAGATCTTCACTGTTAATGGTAATGCGAGCGGCCCTTACTGTTTTCTTCATATTTACCTAAAGCCTCATCTTTTCACTCTGTTATTTACTTATCAGAGCCTTCAGATCTATCTGAGGTTATTGGTTATTGATTTTTCTTCCACCAAATTCTGAATCCTCAGTCTTCTTCCTGCAGTCCTGCATCCCCTATTATAGTGTATGTGTATGTTCAGCATAGGTTGAACGAGCATGGTGATAGTGGGCAGCCCTGTCAAACTCCTTTAAATGACTTAAGACGTCTATTGCATACAGTACACACTAGGGGTGCGGGAAAAACTCGATTCTTAGATGCATCGCGATGCGGACGTGAACGATTCTGAATCGATTCATTCAACGTCAAAAATCGATTTTCTAAATATTTAATTTATAACGTAATGTTGACGGAACGCAAAAAGCTGAACTGGAAGTGGGTAAGTGCAGCGCCCGGACAGTCTGTGGCGGCACATAACAAAAACACTACTGGATGACCGAGAAATTCAACCGGCTCCCTCTGCATTAAAAGCCAGGTTAGGTCAGGAGTCACAACACAAATGATAAGAAGAGCCATTTTGCCTTTCAACGAAGTCAAACCACCTTGGGAGCCACAACATTTAATGTCCAGTGTGTCTCAGTATGGGATGATGTCCTAGTATGGGCTAAAAATATAAACAAGAGCGCAGATTTACTTCGCTCTGCTTTAAGCTTTAGCTTTAGCCGCTTTCCTCCCACTCCGCCAGAAAACCTTTCTTCAAAACTAGAAGAGTTTCTTGTAAAATGTCTCAGCGTCCGGCTGTTTTACGAGGCTGAAGTCGCTTCTCATTCGCCAGTTTCTCGTTCTAATTTTCCCGTTCCACCTTAAATTCTGCCTTAGGCGCCGAATGTAACTGCTGCACCATTTAAGGTGGAACGGGAAAATTCGAAAGAGAAGCGAGTTCATTTTCGCAACTTTTTAGAGAAAGACAGTCTCTCAGCAGATTTAACCAACCGCGCTGCTTATAAATGCGAATAAGTCCTCCAAATGTTCGTCTGAATCTGTTTTTTCGTTCGCTACTGGCGGGGCTATGTGACCTGCTGTCTGTTCTCAGTCGTTGAGAACCAGGGCTTTCCCGCTATGCTGCACACTTTGGAGCCGAGATTCAGCGTCCAGTCTCGAAAATACCCCCCCACTCTCTACAACGAGACCAAAAGGGTGGCTGTAACGCGCTGCGTGGACACCCATTTCCACTGGATCTTATTTCGGGGCAACAGCGCATTTTATCGCAGATGAGTGGCAGCAGCGTCTCTGAATGAGAGCCTTCTAGTTCACTTGCCACATCACTTTCATTTGATTTATTAATAAAAGATATTTTAGATAATTAAAGCAAAGTATTTGTAGTGATCCGTAATGCATTTACATTATGGATCATTACAAATACTTTGCTTTAAAACTACGAAGTCCTCAGACAGTAGGAAGATAGAAATCATGTATAGAGAAAAAAGATGCATCGAGATGCATCGATAATCGTTTTATAATCGCATCGCAGCCCTCTGAATCGTAATCGAATCGAATCGTGAGGTGCCTAAAGATTCCCACCCCTAGTACACACAGTCAAATTCCATGTTTTGTTGATTTTCTATGTGAAAAAAAGTTTACACAACCTCTACAGAGAACAAACTTAAATATGGCATTTAATTTTAGTGCACAATTTCTACTTATTTGCTGATTGTAACAAACTGGAACAACTAAAATGTGCCATAACGTTTGCACAAGCCACATTTTATGTTTTATTTTTTCTCAATAGGTTCAACTCAGCAAAGAAACAGTAATAAGGCATTAATATGTGCAAAAGCGTGTTGACCAGGCCAAAATTTTGCATACACCTGTATCCATATTCATCAGTCATTCATATTTGGAGTATCTCCACTTCAATCCAGGTGTTTAAACCCAGCACTGCCCCCTGCCATTTTGACTGCTGTGAATATGTATTTTGCACTGTTTTGTATGTAGCGTAGGGAGGAAACAAAGTAGAATTTATTGTGTTTAACAATAACATCTGACAAAAAACTTTGAAAAACTCATTAGTTTTGTAGGTAACGACAGAGTTGGATTCGGTTCAGGGCTAAAATGTTAAAAAACCACAAAAATGTAAAACATACGTACCTTTCCTGCAGAACAGCTGGCTAAAGCGTCCAGATGTGATGCTCCCCGCTGTACTGTGCAACTCGATTTGAGCAGCGTATCCATGGAGACCGTACTCGGGGTCCACATCATCAAAAGCAGCCGTGTGCTCTGCTGGCTGATATGGGCTGGAGAACAGTAATTATGTTAGTAATCCACAAATCTACTGATTGTTTTGATGATTAATCAAGTAATCAGGCCAAATAATGAAAATGGACCACATAAAATGTTTCAGAGATTCCAAAATACACTACCATTCAAAAGTTTGGAATCAGATGTCATATTAATATTAATTGTATCCAGTAATAACTTACACAGTGTGGATTAAAATGTTATAAACTAGACACAGAATACTTTAATGTCTTATCTTGTCTGGTCACGTTTTGTTGTCTATTTACAGTAATTTCATGTCTAGTGTCAAGTTATCTGTCTTGAGATTTAATCACTTCTTTTAAAATATTAGGCATTCTGGAGGTTACACAGCTTACTATGTGTGTATATCAATATATCGCTGCTGTCGGAACAAAACCTTGCATCTCCAAAACGGCAATTTTTACAGGAGAAGGAAAAAAGATACTTTACTTTTAATGTAAGTCAATGGCACCAGATTTTTTCCAAGTCATTTTGGGCCATTTCCTTTGGTCTATTCATCATGTAATTTACACACTATGCAAAGGCATTTTCAAATTATGTCAAAAACAGAAAAAATGGAGATACAAGGTTTTGTTCCGACAGCAGCGATATTTATATTGATATATAAATCAATTATTATAGATATACATACAGTTGTATGCATAAGTTTGGGTGCTCCTAGTCAAATTACATGTTTTGTTGAGTTTCTAAGTGTACATAAGTCAACACATCCTCTACGGAGAACATACTGAAATATGGCACTTCCCTGCAAAATTTAGAGCAGGGTTTCTATCAGTTTGCTGAATTTAAAGCTGCACTATGTAATATATTTGTATTGAAAATTGAAAGACATAGCATTACTAAGTCAGGAGAATAAAACAAGCTTAAATATAGTGTGCATGTGCTGCTATGAGGTGAAATAATAACAAAAAAGCTTGAAATAAAAAAATAAAAGTCAGAGGTGTCAGACCAGGACTTTTTCAGGCCACATTATACATCTTTACGTATTAACATCACAAGCACAGGCTCAAACAGAAGGTCTGGCTTATGTTTGGGTCTCAAATGCAAAATCATATAATAGTCATAATCATTATTATACTGATGAAGATATAATGGCAATAGTAGATAATTCACTCACATCCTCAGAAGACACATCCTTCACCAAGTTTTGACTGAGCTCTCTTTGAATTCTCTTTGAACTTGCTTGCAATCATCAGATTCATCCAGTCAGGGAAGTGGTCAGAAGTGCAACCCGCACGTTGCGTGCAATGACACATTCTCCAAACCCCCCAAACTCACATAGCTTTCACAAAATGGAAAAAAAATAAAACATAACATATTAAATATGCCGTAACCTCTGTACATGCCACAAAGGTTACAGCACATTTGTGTCATGGAATGTTTTATTTTTTCCAATATGTTAAACTCAGCAGATAAACAGTAATTTTGCTTTGAAATGTTCAGAAATGTGTTCTCCGTAGAGGGTGTGTAAGAAGATCAACTAAACATGTAATTTCACCAAACTTTTGCATACAAGTCTATATATCATTTCATTTGCTGCTATGCACCATGTAGCTCCGCGCATGGTGTCGAATAGGGTGGGAATTTAAAATGTGCATTGTCATCCTGCAAACTGACAACTTATCACTGCCTATACATGGATAGTACATTTGAATTATTTAGTTTTAAGCCAAGTAATTGTGACAGCCCTGGAATGAAACCCGGCACTGAGCTGGCCTGACGGACCTCAGAGAGCTCCAGTGTGGTGTCAGACAGTGTGGGTGTGTGTGTGAGTTAAGAAAGACGACAGCATGTGCACGGACAGTGTTCAGCATCACCAGAAGGTGGAGTCATACAACCAGTCCTTACACACTGCAGGCAATTTACCACACACACCCGTACGCCTGTGACTAACACAGAGGCCTAAAGAGGAGAGACGCCGGTGAAAAGGTTTGCTGTAACCTTGAGCAAAAATGAGAGATGATGTAATTTCTGAAAAATGTGGGGGAAAAAGGTCTGTCTTCATAATAAATGACCAAAAAAGCACAGTTTAGGGGAACAAAAAGAAGCGTACACGGTGGACAACCCCAGGAGACTTCTTTCCACAAGTTGGTGATAATGTAAGTTCACCATGATAAATGCAATTTCCCTCTGCTCCTGGAAAATAAACACATAGGTTTATAATGTTTACAGTGCAGATAATAAATTTATCTAACAGAAAAAAGTTGAGTAATTTCAGGTCACACGTACCTGCCAGACACCTACAGTGATGCCCTGCCCTGCATACAGTAACTTAACCAGCCTGTCTGAACCACACAGTTTCCACACATCCTTATTTAACTTCACTTTAGTCAGGAGGGATTTCCAGCCTGGCCTGTAAGGGCACAAACCAACGATTGTAATGATTATCATGAAATTATAATAATAATAATAATAATACTACTAATAATAATAATAATACTAATAATAATAATAATAATAATAATAATAGGGTTTCTACTGAAACGTCCACTATTTTATCTGTCCATAGGAGTCACTGGTGTTATTGATCGTCACAGGTGTTACACATAAGAAAGGTAACACCAGAGACAGTAACACCAGTGACGTTTTTTAATGAAAAATGCATTTTACAAAATGGCTGCTACAGAGCATCAAACCACATGTTTTTAATCGTGGAGTATCTACTAAAATATGTAATTTAATCCATTTGTGTTCTATTTTTTCACAATTACCTAAGAATAAAGTAGGTCACACCAGTGACTTCAACTAAAAGCTTCATATGAAATCATGAGCTAAATGAGAAAATTTGTGATAACTGAAAAGACACAGTGGACTTACTATGTGCTTTTCTACAAAGATCTTCAGAAAATAGGTAAATGGAAGTGAAGTGGTGTCATCAGTGTGATTTTTTATTTCAAAATAAGAGATTTTTTGTAACACAGTAACACCAGTGACACGACTCCTGGGGACCACAACTTTCATTACATATTTTATAATATTTGGCATTTGTTTTCTTTTTGTCATTTAAACCATATATTCCATAGTGATGTATACATCATTGCAGTTAAAATTGCAGAAAAACAAGTTTTTTACCTCAAAATATGGCACCCTACAAACATGACTGTGAGGACAAGCACTTCTGTGGTGCTTGGAATTCTATATAATTGATTTAAAAACCAATATTGCTAAATTGATGACTCGAGAAGGTGTAACTGTTAAATTAACTTATTGTTTTAATTTAAAATCTAAATAAATTCTAACACAAACATCTTTTTCAAGTGTAATATATCTGTAAATGGGACACAAAAATTGACGTTTCCATAGAATGACTCAGTAATAACAATAATAATAATAATAATAATCATCATCATCATAAGTAGGAAAAGATTATTTATTATTATATTTATTGTTGGTGGTGGTGTTGGTAGTAGTAGCAGTAGTAATATATCAGCAGTTTTCAAGCTGTGGGCCTGCTAGGGGGCTGTTGGCCGTTTTTTGTTTTCCTTACAATATAAACACTTAACCAACCCAATAATAATATGACACATATTATTGATGTGATCATCATTTGCAAAGCTAAAACATAAAAAAAAAAATAAAATGTCTGGATTCTTGTCATAAATATTTAATTACATTACAAGAATATATATTAAATAAGTTAAGTAAGTAAACTAATTATAGTAAAATAACTAGTTATCTATGGTTATAATAGTACTAACAGCAGTAATAATGCAATACTAAGGTTTCTGAAAAGGTTATCAAAACGTTCAGAACAGGGGGTCATACTTGTACTCATCTGGACACTGAAGGGGCACTCGCACCACTCCATGCAGCTTCAGCGCAGTGAGCTGGTCAATAAACGGCCAGTCACCTGCATTCCAGCTAACTGTGACAGCCGCATCGGTGAAGTGGACGTGAGTCTGCTCAGAGGTGCTCTCCCGTCCTCTCCCATCCGTCAGCGTGATCGCCCATCTAACACGCAGACTCCTGCCAGCCACACATCACACAAACCACATCTGACACTCCACATCAGACAGAACATGCAGCTACTGACTGAGGCTACCACTGCTTTTAAAGGAAAACTCCAACCTTGTCCCTGTCTGCTGCTTCTGTAGCGTATGCTTGATTAACACAGACTATCACTTCCCTTTATTTATAAAAGAACAGAAAAAAATTGAAACACCCTTATGACGGAAGCTAATGGTCAGATACTGAAGCTGAAGCAACTGCCCATTGGCTTCTATTATAAGTATGCTCCGAGTCAAAGAGTTTTCTGTTCTTTTCTTAGTACAGAGAAGTAAATGTCTTTAGTAATTGACTGTACACTACAAATGCAGCATAGAGGTTAGGTTTAAAAATGCTGTTGTATTTCTGCAAGGGAGAAGACGGAAAAAACAGACAAACAGAAAGCCAAATGCTCAGTATCAAACAGGCTGACAAATGCAGTACTGGGGTGCGGGAAAAAAACGATTCTTAGATGCATCGCGATGCGGACGTGAACGATTCTGGATCGATTCACAAATGTCAAAAATCGATTTTCTAAATATTTAATTTATACCGTAATGTTGACGGAACGCAAAAGGCAGAACCTAGAAGTGCGGAAGTGCAGCGCCCGGACACTCTGTGAGGTGCACATAACAAAAACACACATGGATGATCGAGAAATCCGACCGGCACCCTCTGCATTAAAAGCCAGGTTAGGTCAGGAGTCACAAAACAAATGATAAGAAGAGCCATTTTGTCTTTTCAACAAAAATCAAACCACATTGGCAGCCACAACATTTATGTCCAGTATGTCTCAGTATGTGTTAATGTCCTGCTATAAGTTAGGTTAAAATATAAACGAAAAAAACGCGGATTTACTTCGCTCTGCTTTAAGCTTTAGCTATAGTCGCTTTGCTTCCATCTCCACCAGAAAACTTTTCCTGTAAAGTAGATCAGTTTCTTGTAAAATGTCTCTCAAAGTTCTGCTGTTTTACGAGGCTGAAGTCGCTTCTTCAAGACGCTCCAGCTTCTTGTTTGAATTTTCCTGTTCCACCTTAAATTCTGACTGAGGTGCCGAATGTAAATGCGTCACCATTTAAGGTGGAACGGGAAAATTTGAAAGAGAAGCGACTTCATCTTCGCAACTTGTGTGTTTGATAGTCTCTCGTTGCAGATTTAGCTTGCAAGTAAACCAACAGCAGCGCTTATGAATGCGAATAACGCATCGTTGCTAGGTGACCTGCAGTCTGCATGCCAATTCTCAGTCGTTGCGAAACAGGGCTTTCGCGCTATGTTATACACGACCCGAAGATATTTTACTGACAAAGTGGTCCCCCCCCCACTCTCTACAACGAGACCAAAACCGAAGTTATAAAATCACTGAATTAAACGGGTAGGACGGCTGTAACGTGCTGCATGGACATCCATTACCACTGGATCTTATTTCACCGTAACTCCGCATTTTATCGCAGATGAGTGGCAGCGTCTTACGTGCTCCAAGCAATAGCAGTGAATGAGAGCCTTCCAGCTCACTTGCCACATCACTCCCATTTGATTTATTAATAAAAGATATTGGAAGTAAATGCATTATAGATCATTACAAATACTTTGCTTTAAAAGTACCAAGTCCTCAGACAGTAAGAAAATAGAAATCTTGTATAGAAAAAAAAGATGCATTGAGATGCATCGATAATCGTTTTATAATCGCATCACAGCCCTCTGAATCGTAATCGAATCGAATCGTGAGGTGCCTAGAGATTCCCAACCCTATGCACATAATTAGTTGGATTAGCAACAAGCTAACATTCATCAGATGCATCTGTGAAGCACTGAGGCTACTATATTTACAAATGTAGTGAACAGTAATGGGATAGTACATATTAAACATGTACAGTTAGCCCACCTTTTATTGCTGCTTCATATGGGTTCAAAACACCAGTAAAATAGGCCGACAGATTCCAGCTAGCTAATAAACTACAACACCCATTTCACAGCATCAGTGTTCTGTTTATCGCTCTCACAGGCCGACACCACAAGAACAGGAATGTAGGGAGAACATTTCCACCCCACTTACTCATAAAAGCAGCATTACTGTACTTTAAGGGGGGGAATAAGTGGAAAACAAATACTGAAACAAACACATGGCTAAATGCTCAATATCAAAGAGGCTGAGAAGTGTAATACAACAATAATACAATAATGTGTTACATGAACAACAGGCTAACATTTATTAGCAAAGAAAGGTATTAATTTGAAACTAAAGCAATAAAACAAGCTGCTAGCTTTATGAAATATGATATATTTGGAAGCCAGATTGCAAAAAATGGAATTGAACTGGAATTGGAACATGTCCAACTTGTTGGATTAGCACCACGTCAACGTGTTAGCAAAAAAAGGTGTTCAATTTAAAGTAAAGCCAATATGACAAATTTGGGAGCCAACCAGAAGTACTGAGGTTAGCAAAACAAAGAGATTGCTAAATGCTCAATACCATACTAACTGTTATTAGCAATGAAGGAATGTAAAGCTAAAGCTAGCCAGAAAAATAAATAAAGCACTGAGGCTACATCTGCTTAAAAGACCAGCTCAATGCTGCTGGTTGACCAGCATACCAGCATCCAAAACACAACATATACTTGTTTTGCTAGTGAACAGACATGCTGGTCTACGCTAGTTTTTCTAGCAGGGGCCTGTGTGTGGTTTTGATTAAGAGAGAAAAATCAGAAAAAAATACCGAAACCAGACAGACAGACAAATCTGAGTTTTAAAGACACTGAGGAATGCAAGCAACATGCCTAATTTGTAAGATTAGCAACAGGCCAACATATGTTAGCAAAGAAAGGCATTCATTTAGAACTAAAGCTAGCTGCTAAGTTAGGGAAACAGCCCATATGATACATTTGGGAGGCGAACAGAAGCACCCTATGACATCAATTAGAGTGATAGGAATGAAGCAGGAGGGAGCAGGAGTTGCTGAATTCCGGAGAGATTTAATAGCTGTTGTTTGTGTCTGGGAGTGAGCGGAGATGATTATTACAGAGGTAAATCTCATCCTCCTGAGCCTCTGTAACAGTGGGACCCACTGGGGATATGTCTGGGCACGAGGAAGGGGGCCAAGCAATTTATTTCTACAATTCGCCAAAGCTTCTGAGCGGAGCACAATTACTTCCACTCCCGCACGCTCACCAACTCGAAAAATTGAGTGGCCCGGCAGCTCTAATCAGAGGTTAAGACAACAGTGCACCGCGGCCCGGGGATCATCAGCCAGCGTTTCCATAGCCAGCTGCCCCAAGAGCACTGAGCAAATCTGAGCTGCCGGCTCACAGGCTAACCTTTAATAAGCCTGTACACAGCGAGGGGCTGAGAAACACTCACTGACACATTTGATAGCAAATATGCCCTATTATCAGGAGTTCAAACAGGCCACAACAAAAGGGACAACATTTCAGCTTCTCAGAATGTTTCTCTGTAGGGGTGCGAGATTTGACAATATGTTATCGTTTTTGTGCTAAATTACCTCAAGACATGCTTGTCTGAGTATTTTGTGGGCACTGTTAGCACCTATATGACAAGAAAAGGTTGACATAATATGTAAACACTGTTACCTTTTCAAAACGTACCATTCACTTCCCAATCAGTACAGTCCATATGTGTTAAACATCCCATTTTAAGTTCACTGTTTTTTGTGATGTCACAAAAACCAGCGCATTCTGCCTACAGCAGTTTAGCCCTGCCTACTTATGCTGTTATAAAGAGTGTTTCAGCCCAGACTGCTGTTTGAACTAGGCACAATACAGGACAGCCAGTCAGAACAGTGCCCGTTTACATAAAGCAGTCTTAAAGGGGAAGTAACAAAACTGCCTGTTTGATTGTAGGGGATGAAGCGAGGTTGGAAAATGGTCATGCAAAATTAAATAAAAAAATTAAAATTAATTAAAATAAAAATGTTTTTGGCACATCAAAGTACACAAATATCATAACAGACCCTAGTGTTTGTGGGGGTAAATGGACCTTTTAAAGAACATTGGCCAGTTGCATGTTTCATTAAATAAAGATTATAAAGATATTAAGATTTCATTACATTCAGGAGAGGCTTCCTTGTGGTTTTGTGCTATTGTCAGGAAATCATGGGTTTGGATCTGAGTGATGTCCAGCAGAGCATAATTAGCCCAGCTTAATTAAAAAAAAAAAGTTTGTATTCATAGTTTTTGATAGCATTTCTTAAATACAACGATACTTGTGCATTGTGTCTGTCCAGAACTCAGAGTAATAAACTCTACTGTGAATGTATTATCATAAAATAGTTTTTTGCCCACTGCTCATGCTCTGTATTACAAAAAAGTGAGACGGTAATAAAAACACTAATGTGTCAAAATGAAACCATAAACACATAAAAAGCGCAGACTAATTAGCAGACAGATGAAACCACACAACAACCCTGAGAGACTTTTAACAGGGCACGGGCTTCAGAGCAGCAATGTCACTGTCAGAAGCTTATGGAAAACAAAATGGAGTCGGCCCCATTACCACATGATCACTGATGTGATTTATTCTAATTAGTCTAAGCCAATTAGCAAAACTGTGCTGGACAGCTTTCAGCTTGTTGAGATCGCGCTCAACAAAAAAACTCCAGCTCCAATCAGACAATGCTGTTGTTGTATATGGGGAAATGGTGTAATAGGGGAAAAAACGAACTGTAAGAAACTGGTGTTGCCACTATAGATTACACAAGTAAAAGAGTAATCTACTGATTATTTGCGTGATTAATTAAATAATTAGTGTTTAAAAAACAAGGCAAAACTACAAAAGCCTATGAGTACATAACACATTAATAAACTAAAAAGAGCAAATCAGAAACAACAGCAAATACAGAAACACAACAGCACAGTCAGAAACGCAACAGCAAAGCCAGAAATGCAACAGCAAAGCCAGAAACGCAACATGAAAGACAGAAACACAACAGCCAGGTCAGAAACGCAATAGCAAAGTCAGAAATGCAACAGCAAACTCAGAAACACAACACCAAAGCCAAAAACGCAACAGGAAAGACAGGAACACAACAAGAAAGACAGAAACACAACTGCAAAGTCAGAAATGCCACAGCAAATTCAGAAACGAAACAGTAAATTTAAAAATGCAGTAGCGAACTCACAAATGCTACAGCAAATTCAGAAATTCAACAGGAAATTTAAAAACACAACAGCAATTTCAGAAACGCAACAGCAAACTCAAACATCCAACAGCAAACTCAGAAACACAACAGCAAACTCAGAAACGCAACAGCGAATATAGAAACACAAGAAACGCAATAACAAATTCAGAAATGCAACAGGAAATTTTAATTTGTGCTTTCTGGTTTGCTGTTTTTTTTTATTATTTCTTGTTGTGCTTTTTGTTTTGCCCTTAAGGCCTCCATACCAAAAATGGTAGCTAAAAATGGACAGAAAAATTAAAAATAATGCATAGCATTTGAAAGATTCTGAAATAGCTTATTGGAAAAAAAGATAAACTAGAAAGCCTTCAAGAAAATGCATAGAAATATGAATGTCATTCAGACTCCGACTATAAGAGGGAGCAGAAGGAGAATTTTAAATATGCATGATCATCATCCTAACTGCCAACTGATCACTGCTGATAAATTAAGAAAATCACATTTTAATTGATGTTTTTTAATTGACTGAGTTGAACTGATTACTTGTGGCAGATGTAACAACAGCTAATATAACGGAAGCCGTTCTGACGGCTCACCTGAGTATTTGCGTTGTTTGGCTTGGCAGGCCTGTGTACAGGTGGATGGCTTTAAGCTTCTTCTTCCAGTTTGCATTGTAGCCGGCCAGTTCTTTGAAGAACCGTTTCCTCCAGTATCCCTCAGGCCTTTCCTGTATGCCAGCCACACTCAGGCCATCTGTCACCTCATCTATTAGCCTGGGATTCTTCTTTTTCGCTTGCTGGCCAGCATAAAACTGATACCACATAGCACTAGAGTAAACAACAGTGCATTATTAGAACTGACCGAATGGGAATTGTGTTTAGAAGCTGTTAAACGAACCACCATGGAAACAAAACTCACTTGTGTCCCTAATATGCATCTAAGCAGTGCTGTACACTACAGGTATTGATAAACTTCAGCATCAAGAGATCAACTTCAAGAGTTAATGAGCCTGAGTGCTGATACTCTATGCTGAAAGAATGTCTTACAAACCTGATATAAGCTCGTTTTGGTTGGACTGTTTTGTACTGTTTTCTTCTCTTAAATGGGAAAATGGCTTTTCAAAATGTCTGCGTAATTAAATGGTTAAGATGAAAACAAAGTCCTTCAGAGTGGTTTGGTGTGAAATGCTCCGTTCTAGAGAAACATATCGAGTCAGAATTGTTCACAGTGGTGGTGATAGGAACCAGACATCCACCTCTAAAAGCTCCCTCACAGAAAGTTATTACATGAAATAGTTATGAAGTTTCTCTACAATGAACCATTTCACACCAAATCACTCTGAATTAATTTGTTTACATCTCAACCACCAAATTATCCTGTTTTTTTTTTTGTTTTTTTTTAATTTCGGCTTAGTGTCTTGAAATGATGACTTATTTTTTGGGGATTTTGAGATGCTATGTTGAAATAATGAGTTATTAAGTTTCAACAAAATAATTTTTTAGGGTAGTGATAAAAAGTCACTATTATGAGATAGTTGGTTGTTATTTTCATATAGCAAGACATTATTTTAACTCAGTTAGTAAATATTCTGAGAATATAAGTCCTTATTATGCAACAAAAGCTGTTCTTTTGAGAAAATAAGTCATTATTTTGACATAGTCATTATTTTGAGATACTACATTAATATATTGAGAAAATATGTAATTGTTTCAAAATACTAAGTCAAAATCTTGACAAACTGCTGTCAGAAGAATCACAGGCCATGTTTTTCTCTGTCTACCTGGTGGAAATGGGATTCTACATTAACTAGATAGAAAGCATGTTTACATAAAGGAAACTTACAATTTCTTTAGTTTTTTATGTATTTTGAACAGTCTGAAGCACCCAGCAAATCATACACATTACAGTTAAGTGTCAGGCTCTGGATGCCATGACTAAATAGAATTTAAATTGTTAAAAACAAACTGCATGTTAACAGGGATGCCTCTATTTTATGGAATTGAATGTCATCATGGATGTAATTGTAGTTATCAATATCATGTATCACAGAACTACAACCCCACTTCCAAAAAAGTTGGGATGCTGTGTAAATATGAATGTAAATAAAAACAGAATGCAATGATATGCAAATCCAGTAAGCCATATTTTTAAAGGAAAATACTACAAAGACAACATATCAAATGTTGAAACTGAGAAGTTTTATTGTTTTTTGAAAAATATATGCACATTTTGAATTTGATTCCAAAAAAGTTGGGACAGGGGCATGTTTGCCACTGTGTTTCATTACCTCTTCTTTTAACAACACTCTGTAAGCATGTGGGGAAGAGGAGTCCAGTTGCTATAGTTTTGAAAGTGAAATGTTTTCCTGTTCTTGTTTGATATAGGATTTTAGCTGCTCAATGGTTCAGGGTCTCATTTGCAGTATTTTTCATTACATAATGTGCCACATGTTTTCAATGGGTGACAGGTCTGGACTGCAGGCAGGTCAGTTTAGCACCCAGACTCTTTTAAAATGAAGCAATGCTGTTGTAATACATGCAGAATGTGGTTTGACATTGTCTTGCTGAAATAAGCAAGGCCTTCTCTGAAAAAGACGTCGATCTGGATGGCAGCATATGTTGCCAAAACATGTATCTATTGTTCAGCATTAATGGTGCCTTCATAGAAGTGCACATCACCCATGCCATGTGCACTAATGCACCCCTATACCATCATGAATACTGACTTTTGAACTGTGCACTGATAACAAGCTGAGTGGTCTTTAGCCCAGAGGACACAGTGTCCATGATTTCCAAAAACAATTTAAAATGTTGACCACAGAACACGTTTCCACTGCCCCCCAGTCCATTTTAAATGAGCTCAGGCCCAGAGAAGGTGGCAGGGTTTCTGGATCATGATTATATATGGTTTCTTCTTTGCGTTTTAGACTTTTAACTTGCATTTGTGGATGCAGCGACGAACTGTCACAGACAGTGGTTTTCAGAAGTGTTCCTGAGCCCATGTAGTGATTTCCACTACAGAATCATGTCTGTTTTTAATGCAGTGCTGCCTGAGTGGTGAACCTTCCCCACTTTTGAAAGACTCCACCTCTCTGGGATGCTCTTTTTATACTCAATCACGTTACTGACCTGTTGCCAATTCACCACCAGGTGTTTTTTTTAGCATTACACAACTTTACGAGCCTTTTGTTACCCTGTCCCAACTTTTTTGGAATGTGTTGTTGGCATCAAAATCAAAATGGGCGTATATGTTTCAAAAAACAATAAAATTTCTCAGTTTCAACATCTGATATGTTGTCTTTGTACTATTTTCAATGAAATATAGGGTTTAAATGATTTGCACATCATTGCATTTTGTTTTTATTTACATTTTGCACAGCATCCCAACTTTTTTGGAAATAGGGTTGCACATGGTTTACAAATTGTGTATGAAAGTGTTCTAAACTAAAGCGTACTTGTTGTTGGCCAGCTCCTGAAAGCGCTTGTTGACAAAGCTGATGCAGAAGAGCGATCCAGCATCCAAATAAGAGAGAATCTTCAGAATGACCTCAGGTGGCATCCTAGTCAAAGTAAAAAAATAAGCATTTACTTAACAGTGGCCTATGCTAATACTGTGGTTTTAAAATGCCGTTGAAATCCACTTCAGCTCCCTCAATTTACAGCCATTATTGAATTAAAGGCAGCTGAGTGAGGGCCATTTAATGTAAACATGTGAAAGAATGAGTTTGTGAAATAGCTAAATTAGTCTGTGTTTTTCAGCTTACCTCTCTATGTAGTTTTTAGAAGTTTTGACAGAAAATCGGGGCCGACATCCAGGATATTTCAGTGATTTCTGTGTCGTAGTGCATTTCAGTCTGTTGAAAGAAACCATATTGTTCAAAGGGGTGAGTATAACAGTCGTATGCAAAAGTTTGGGTGCCCCGGTTCAGTCATATGCAAAAGTAAAATGTGTCAAGTGCAAAAGTTATGGCATATATATATATATATATATATATATATATATATATATATATATATATACATATGTGTATATATATAAAATATGTTTTATTTGCTCCCTCAGCAAACTCTGCAAATAAATAGAAATTGTGCACTAAAATGTGTGTGTTCTCTGTAGAGGATGTGTTAACTTTTTTCACCTAGAAAATCAACAAAATATGTAATTTGATGTTCAAACTCTTGCATATGACTGTATCGAGTTAGATTTGCTCAGTTATACACTGATCAGCCACAACATAACACCTCCTTGTTTCTACACTCATTGTCCATTTTATCAGCTCCACTTACCATATTGTGCATTTTGTTCTACAATTACAGCACATTGTTTCTCTGCATACTTTGTTAGCCCCCTTTTACTCTGTCCTTCAATGGTCAGGACCACCACAGAGCAGGTGTTATTTGGTGGTGGATCATTCTCAGCACTGCAGTGACACCGACGTGGTGGTGGTGTGTTAGTGTGTGTTGTGCTGGTATGAGTCTTTCATCAGGGGTCACAGCATGCTGCCCACAGGATATGATTGGTTAGTGGACTATTCTCAGTCCAGCAGTGACACTGACCATTGAAGAACAGGGTGAAAGGGGGCTAACAAAGTTTGCAGAGCAACAGATGGGACTACCGTGTGTAATTGTACAACTACAAAGTGCACCTATATGGTAAGTGGAACTGATAAAATGGACAATGAGCGTAGAAACAAGGAGGTGGTTTTAATGTTATGGTTGATTTGTGTATGTACTTGCTCACTTCTCTCACTTTGGCATTTTATTTTCGACCAAAATGATCCAAAAAGAACAAGAACAAAGAAAAACAGATTCGTACAAACTTCAGCTCCTATGCTAATAGATGCTGGATGTAACCTACCAGTGCAGTTCTGTAGGGAAGTCGGTCCTACAGGAGTTTTTGGAAGTTTTGAAGATCTTTTTCACTCATGTTGGTTTTTCTAGGCTACTTTTGCTTCTGCTTGAACCATTACTTCATCGAAGTAACAACACTTTTACTGCAATAACGTTAACGCTACAGTTTTGAACTCATATTCCTTTCTGCTAGCAAACACTGTTAGCAAAAAGGTTAGCAAAGCCTGTAGCTTCTTACCTCTGTGAGTGTAAATGAGTCGAGGACATTTTCCGTCTTCTGTGTGCTCTTAAACTCCACCACATTCAGTTTAGCAGTTTAAAATTCTCCAATAATTCTCCAATTTCTGTCTTTTACAGGCAGTAGGAAACTACTGGGATCATGGTCGCGTCTGGTCGTCATAGCAACGCGGCTAACGCCGTGACCATAGCAACGTGGCCAGTCCGCCCCGTAGCCATACTAATATAGGCAACCCCATAACTTTAGCAGTCATAGTAACATAAGCAACCCCATAACCATAATAATCATAGTAACACCAGAGCCGTCACCGTGTTCGGTAGCCATGGCAACGTGACCATCGCCATTACCACGGTTCCGCGGCCACCACTGTAGCCATGGGAGCTAACCCGGGTTTCTTCATGCAGTTTGGCAGAAATTTCATGTCCGTTTAAGTGAACATTACACGGCTGTTGTAACTTCCTAAAGTTCATATTTTGCGGCACATGTTAATTTAAATCTCCAAAGAGTGTTGAAGCTGTACTTTTATTTAGCCTAACAGTCGTTTTCAAAACAAGTTTAAAAAGAAGCCGACATGAGTTTTATTCTACATTTGGTCCGCCTTAGAACCAAATCCGTTTCCTCTCGTAAAGAAATTCGCATTGGCTGATTGGCTGTCGATTGGAGACGTCATTTCCTCGGATTGTGCGCCACTTGCACTCTGGTTATTGTAGTTCTGAGATATAGCAGTTAGCTTAACACTAATAATCAGCTAATACTTGAAGACTTTGATCAACAGTTTGTAGCGCATAAATATATTTGAATGAAAACTGGAAGTGTACACTTTAGCTTCAGGATAATGTGTCATTTATTTTAGTTATTATTATTATTATTATTATTATTATTATTATTATTATTATTATTATTATCATTGAATTCATTTAAAAGTTTCTAACAACTTCATTTATTTTCGACCATTATCTCAAGCAAGAAAAGTTAGAGGAAATATGATTTAGGAAGAAGGTGTTCTTGATTTTCCTAAATATGGTCATAACTCTAAGCACTAAAACATGTTTGCAAAATTGTTGAAATATTCACTAAATGCTAAAAGAGCATAACATTCAGAAAACTTTAGTGATATATCCAAAATAGCTAGATATGTTCAGACTATAGATCTGTATATTATAGATTTGGCTGCATAGCTGATGTCTGAGCCAAGTCTAACGTCAATTAGCTATTAAAATTACATTTAAACATCAGATCAACAGTACTTAAGTACTTAAAGGGAAATTCCACCAATTTTTCAAAATTTCTGCATAAATAAATGGTTAAGATGCAAACAAAGTCATTCAGAGTGGTTTAGTGTGAAATGCTCTGTCCTAGAAAAACTTACAAGGAATTGTTCTAAAGCCTGATGCCTGAGGCATTGTTTTACAACAACTTTGAGAAGATTTTGGCCTAAAAAGTACTTTTTTCATGCACTCACAGTAGAGAGGTACATGCAGGCACTATGTTACCCAAAGAAAACATATTTTTGTCTGATTTATGACTATTTTACCATCATCACTGTTAAATATAAAAAACTCAGAAGACATGTGTAGGTTCACTGGTGGTTTGGATCGTAAATAAAATGGCAACATTTGCGTTCTGGACATCACCACTGCAAAGACATCTATGTCTCTACAATGTACCATTTCATGTCAAACCAGTGTGAATGATTGTTTACATCTCAACCACTGAAATATTCAGAAATTTTGAAATGTCAGTGGAATTCCCCTTTAAACTCCAGGCTAAGGATAAACTAGAGGCTTTTTAATCTACTTATTAACCCCTTAAACTCCAGACTTAAAACTCCTTAAACTTCAGGCTTATTATTCACTTTATAATCTCTTAAACTCCAGGATTATTATTCTTTTATTAACCCCTTAAATTCCAGGCTCATCATTCCCTTATTAACCCCTCATACTCCAGCGTTATTATTCACTAATTGAACCCTTAAGCTTACATATAACTTAATAGTATTTCATTTTGCATTATTAAGCTTTGTAAGCTGAAAGATAAACACACAAACAAGCTTCAGGGGTTAAACACCTGAACCCAATCAGGTTATGTAGAATGAGTGTTTTTTACTTGTGAGTGAGAGCCTTTCTTTGTTTCACTCGGTTGCGGAGCTGCAAGAGTCCCCAAAGCTGGACCCCCGTGACCCTTCAGCCTGACATTTGATGTTTTTCCACTTGTCCTTCTCCGAGCTGCGGGTCAGTCACTGCTCTCGGACACTTTAATGTCAGTTTCTGCATGGCCTGCCATTCCTCACTGACGGTGCTATATCTGTCAAACGAGCTGGCTTTGGCTACGGCTTTAGCTTTAGCTGTAGCGCCTGTCAGAGAAAGTGCGAATTTACCTGATTATAGAATGAGCCAAAAAAGCACAGGACTGTTCTATAATCGCAGATTTGACGTGTGAGCTGTTTTTAAATATGATGCGCGCAGTCTTTTCATGTCATCGCATTAGACTGGTAATGCATGAAACTGTGGTAGTGTGTGATTTTGTTATTTATAATGCCACACTGAAAACAAGTGCTTTGAGTTTACTTGATTGAAATGTGTACATTAGTTCCACATAAATAAAATATATTACAACAACACCTTACGTAAGTAAGTAAGTTATGAAAGACAATTATTATGTTGATGTAACATATTTTATTCATGTGGAAGTGATTGAAAGCATAGTGTGTTAGAAAACTAATAAAATATTCATAGAAATATATGAATTTTGTGTGGAACATGCTTCAAACATAGGCAGAGTTTGCACCACTGACAGAACGTCATGTCATATAGCATCATTATGTCAGTATTTAAATGAATATTTTCAGACTGAAGTGGTTCATTTTTCCTGAGATATTTCTGATGAGATTACATATAAGATAATCCACTTGCATTAGGAAGGAGAAAATTAAAGTGAAAAAAAAAGTTTCCAAAATTAAAGTTCAAAAATTGATTAAAGCTACCGAGAAAATGGGAGTCCTAACAACCACCTGCAAGACCTGGCAGACCTTTCTTTTTAAAGTGATATGTAGAAAAAAAAATTATGCTCATTTAAGCAATAAAAAAAATCCTTTTTCAAAAAAAAATCTGGATTTTTTTTTTAGTAATTTATGCCTAAAATATTTACACTGTATGTTAATATGGATATACTGGGTGTGTCATTTTTGTTTGTGTATTTGAACATAAAGACCTTAAGATATAAACATAGTATAAAGATGGAAGTGATATAAAGGCCCCCCTACCACCCTCCCCAGACTAATTCATCCATATCGGTGTGGCCACTTTATGTAATATCGCCAATTAGCAACTTTGAAGAGTTGAGAGTGACAGTTAATTAAAGAGGTTAAGTGAAGGTTCAACAGTTTTAACACACTCTGAGAGGAAGTGTCAAAGCCAGCATCACACACACATGCACACACACACACACACACACACACACACACTGCTTACTCTCTCCAAAACTTTAGTCACTGTTTTTTTTTTCTTTTCAATGTCATCAGTTGACACAGTGAGGTCAAGAGCTGAACAAGCAACTAACGACTTATTTGTCAACTTTGCTAATTAGCAAATGTTAGACGGGTCAAAAATGTCCACAGGCCAAGCAGAACATTTCATTTCTCTTCATTACTCTTCAAAAACACATCTACAATGAAAAAAACACTGATTCGGTCATGTCATTTTTTTTCAAATTTTACTTGCCTGCCTAACACTTTTAGACAATATTCTATATAAATAAATAAATAGGCATATACAAAAGTCTGAACACATCCAGTCAAATTACATGTTTTGTTGATTTTATGTGTGAAAATAATTTAACATAGCTCCTACAGAGAACACCTTTAAATATAAGGTTTTCTGCAAATTTTAGTGCACAATTTTTATTTATTTGCTGAGTTTAACACATTAAATAAATGCAACTTGCATAGCAGATGTGCTATAACTTTTGCACAGATCAATATTTCATGTTTTCCAAAAAGTTAAATTCAGCAAATGAATGGGAATTGTGTATTAAAATGTGCAGAAGTGTGATCTCTGTGGAGGATGTGTTCACTTATTTTCACTCAGAAAATCAAGAAAACGTATAATCTACTCATTCATGCAGTTATCTAACCAGCCAATCATGTGGCAGCACTGCAGTGCATAAAACCATCTAGATACAGGACAGCAGCTTCATGTAAAGTTCACATCAACCAACAGAATGAAGGAAAAATGTAATCTTGTGATTTTGACTGTGGCATGATTGCTGGTGCCAGATGGGCTGGTTTGAGTATTATTATAACTGCTAAACTCCTGGGAATTTGAAGTACAACAGTAAATTTCAGTTTACGCAGAATGGTGCAATAAAGAATAAACATCCAGTGGCAGTTCTGCAGATGGAAACGCCTCGTTAATGAGAGAGGTCAGCAGAGAATGGCCAGGGTAGTTCGAGCTGACAGAAAGGCTCAGATAACCATTCTGTACAACTGTGCTGAGCAGAAAAGTATCTCAAAATGCATAACACTTCAAACCTTAAGGCGGATGGGCTACAACAGCAGAAGACCATGTCAGTTTCCGCTTCTGTCAGCCAAGAACAGAAAGCTGAGGCTACAGTGGGCACAGGCTCACCAAAACTGGACAGCTGAAGGTTGGAAATCGTAGCCTGGTCTGGTGAATCTCAATTTCTGCTGAGGCACACTGATGGTAGGGTCAGAATTTGGCACCAACAGCATGAATCCATGGATCAACCTGCCTTGTGTCAGCAGTCCAAGCTGGTGGAGGGGGTGTAATGGCATGGGCACATTTTGGGCCCATTAATACCAGTCAGTAATTGCTTGAATGCTACAGCCTGTTTGAGTGTTGTTCCTGAACATGTGCATCCCTTCATGACCACAATTTACACATCTTCTTATGGCTACTTCCAGCATAATAATGCATCATGTCACAAAGCAAAAGTCATATCAAACTGGTTTCATAAACATGACAGTGTGTTCAGTGTTCCTCAGCTGCCTTCCCAGTCACTGGATCTGAACATCATAGAACTCCTTTTGGGATGTGTTAGAACAGGAGATTCACCGCATTAAAGTGCACCTGAAAAATCTGCAGGAAATGCATGATGCAATCATGTCAACATGGACCAGAATCTCAAAAGAATGTTTCTACCATTTTTTGGAATCCATGCCATGAACAACTGAGGCTGTTCTGAGAGCAAAGAGAGGCCCCACAACCCAGTATTGGTATAGTATTCCTCATAAAGTCCTCAGTAAGTGTGATATCCAAAAAAAAGTGTTAGCCATGACATTTGTTTAAAGCTATTTATCTGTGCAGGAAGTTTGTCAGAAAAATGACTGTATAAATAAACATAAATAGAGTAAGTCAGCAGTCAGATTGTCTTATTTCAGAGAAGTAATGAATATGTAGTTTAGAAGAATACAGTTAGAAGAACACAGGTTTGGTTCCTGACTTCTTGCCATAGCATGGATTTGTTCAATTTCATGAAAAGCATCTGATTTAACATGCTTTTATATCACTACTGAAACACAAAGAGTTTTGGTCAGTTGGTGGAAATTTGGTAGTGTTATGACTGGTTTGGTAGTGACAAAATGGAATGTTCAGTTTTTTTGTCTTTAGTTTTTTGATTTTAGTCTAAAGTCTTTAGTCTGTATATACACCTCCAAAAAAGCTGAGATGTTTTGCCAAATGTAAATAAAAACAGAATCCTATCATGTGCAAATCATTTAAACCCTTTATTTAATTGAAAATAGTACAAAGACAACATGTCAAGTGAAACTAAGACATCATCTGACGCCTAATTACATTGGCAACAGGTCAGCAACATGATTGGGTATAAAAAGTCTTTCAGAAGTAAAGATGTAGAGGAGTTCACCATTCTGTGAAAGACTGCACAGGAAAATAGTGTAACAAAATTAACGTAAAATAGCAAAGAACCTGGGGATTTCATCATGTATGGTACATAATATCATTAAAAGATTAAGAGAATCCTCTGTATGCACAGGACAAAGCCAAAAGCCAGTATTGGCTGGTGGTGATCTTTGGGCCCTCAGGTGGCACTATATTAAAAACAGTCATGATTCTGTGGTGGAAATCACTGCATGGGCTCAGGAACACTTCCAAAAACCATTGTCTGTGAAAACAGTTAATTGCTGCATCCACTAATGGAGGTTAACACTCTACCTTGCAAAGAAGAAACCATATATAAACAGGATCCAAAAATGCCGCCACCTTCTCTGGGCTGGGGCTTATTTAAGATGGACTTAGGCAAAGTGCAAAGTGTCCTGTGTTAAAATCAAAATTTTAAATTTCTTTTTGAAAATCCTCCTCTGGGCTAAAGAGGAGAGGGGTCATTCAGCTTGTTATCATTGCACAGTTGAAAAGCCAGCATCCATGATAGTATGGGGTGCATTAGTACACATGGCATGCACATCTGTGAAGGCAACATTAATGCTGAATGATATATACAGGTTTTGATGCAACATATGCTGCCATCCAGACAACGTCTTTTTCAGGGAAGGCCTTGCTTATTTCAGCAAGACAATGTCAAACTACATTCTGCATGTATTACAACAACATGGCTTCACAGTGAAAGAGTACAGGTGCTAAACTGGCCAGCATGCAGTCCAGACTTGTCACCCACTGAAAACATTTGATGAATTATGAAATGAAAAATACGACAAAGTACACCCTGAACTGTTGAGCAGCTAAAATCCTAGATCAATGAGGAATGGCAGCAAATTCAAAATGGGCAGGTATTTTTCAAATAAAAGTTACATTACTCAATTTAAACAATTGATATGTTTTCTTTGTGCTATTTTCTAATAAAAATATAATTTGCACATCAGTGTATGCAGCTTTTATATACATTCATGAATATTCAAAAATCACCATATTTTGAAAGTAGAGGTCAAATCTCTAACAATTAATTAACAATTAATATAAATGCATAATTACAATAAATTGTTATCTTTTTATTCACTTCTTGTTCACACAATTGTTTAATAAAACATCTGTAAATATTTTAGTTTGAATAGTTCATGATATTTAAATCGACATTGTATAGGTTATTATTGCAATTATGACCAAAGATTAATATGTTAATTAATATTAATATGATATTGCGCTTTACACATACTAGAAATATTAATGCTATATCAGGATTAATACCTCTTTTATTAGAGAAATATGTGAAATATGTGGAAATGAGTTCTCCTTAATGCATCAGCTGTTATTTTTCTCCAAAATTTGCTATATCCAAAATTGCGTCTGAACGTACCACGTCTAAAAGCTCCCCTCACAGAAAATTATTAAACAAAATGGTTATGAATACACTGCCTGATGTCTGAGACATTGTTTTATGATAGTTTTTAAAAGATTTTGGCCTGAAATGTATTGTTTAAGAATACATTCATAGTGGAGGGGCACATGCAGGGTGTTGTGAGGCAGAATAGCCCCCCAAAAAACTTATTTTTATAATTATTTTAGTATTATTTAATATCATTAACATTACATATAAAAACTCAGAAGATGTGTAGGTTCACTGGTGGCTAGTAAATAAAATGTATTTGTGTTGTATACACTGTGACCCCTGGTTCCTATCACCACCACTGTAAAGAAATCTGAGTTGGTGAATAGTTTCTCTACAGATACAGATAGATAGACAGATAGAGAGGTGTAAATAGCAAAAGAATATAATATAGTTTACTGATGTGTAAATAACATAAACATTCAAATCCGGTAAGTTGAGTGCAGCACTGTTTTCTCAGCGTAACAGGACTAACACACGTTTTCCACTGGATGGAGCTGCAGCACCTTCTGTTCTTCTCCTCCATATGCAAACTAAAGCAGGTGCTACAGGCCTGGATGCCCATCATTTATGTGGACGGAGCTGAGAGGCAGCAGTTTGTTAGCTCTTTTTCTTTTTTTTCCCCTCTCACATTTTAAACCCACATGATCTTCACTCCATCAGCTTCTCCAAAAGGCGCTCAGGTATCAAGTTGAGTCCATGCTGAAGCTTTTCTACCTCCAGGTTTGCTCTTTCTAAAGCTCAGCAGGTCTCCTGAAGGGTTCGGGCTGCTGCTGCTGAGGCTGAATAAATGCGGATGGGGAGGGAATCACCCTTATAAAAAAGCGAAGGAGTGACTGCTCTTCTCCAGTCCTACTCTCATCCTCCGGGCTGCTGCTGCTGCAACAGAGCGATGGACTTAACAGGTAAAAACACGCCCTGAGCACTGTGGGAGGGAATGTGGTGAGGGAAAAATTTTAAAGAAGAGAGAGAGAGAAGCTGTCTAAGCTGCTTGGAATGGATGGAAATGGTGATCCTGCTGCAGATCACTTGTAGAAATGTGGATGTTGCAAAGTTGCATGGTTTGTTTTTCTGTATATTTTAGAGGAAGAGATCATGCTCAATGTGAAAGAATGCATGTTTTAGATTTGCATATGGTGGTTTGGATGCATTTGAGTGAGCCGTGGATGCAGATTCACTGATGCAAATGTTTTGGTCTTTTTTAAGTTTGTTGTTATGCCTACATTTTGGCTTTTTTTTTATTTACATATGATTCACATATAAATGTTCCTATTTTGTGGTCTTATTTCCTTTGTTGATGCATGATAAGTGCATTAACAGGGCTATATGTTTTGAACAGCATGCCTATATTCTGCTCTTTTTATGTTTAAACATGACTACCATGTTAGTTTGCACTAGTATGTTGCAGTATGTGGCTTTAGATTTTCTTGTTTTCTTTTTATTCCCAGAAGACATGAAGCAAGTGCTGTGAAGATCGAGTGGATATCAGCTGATGCACACAGGAGGAGGAGGAGGAGGAGGAGAAGGAGGAGGAGGGAGAGAGAGCATCAGTTAGAGAGAGAGAGAGAGAGAAAGAGAGAGAGAGATTGGAGCAGGTGATAGAGCCACACAGTAAACCTCCAAGGGGCTGATCTCCAGTCTGATTGCGTGCGCGGGACTCTCTCTCTCGGTCGTGCCGTGTGTGTGATCATGGTGCCAGCCGCGTCCGCGTGCCCCGGACTCCTCCACGCCATGCTCGCGCTCTTCGTCCTGCTGCTGGCGGGCGCCGGACAGCTGTGCCTCGCGCAGAACGACACCGAGCCCATCGTGCTGGAGGGGAAGTGCCTCGTGGTGTGTGACTCGAACCCCTCTTCGGACGGGGGGGTCACCTCCTCGCTCGGGATCTCCGTGCGCTCCGGAAGCGCCAAAGTGGCCTTCTCCGCCGTGCGCGGGACCAACCACGAGCCATCCGAGATGAGCAACACGTCCATGACCATCTACTTCGACCAGGTCAGGGGTTATGAGGGAAAGTTTGCTGCGCCCGCGGATTTTAGGCTAAAACTTTTTTTCCCCCCCAAACGCTGAAGCTCAGTGCGCGCTAAAGCTGTAATATCACACAGAGCTACAGTGGGTAGGGGGCTTCACTACTGCATGGGCTATTTCACTGAGAAATGGGGTAGTTCACTGTTTGTATGGGGTCTCTCACTGTTGCGTGGGTTATTTCACTATTATATGGGGAAATTGAGATTGTTCACCATATCGCTAATATAGGTGGTCTGTTTCACTATTATATGAGGTATTTCATCTATAATATGGGCTTTTGCACTATTGTATATACAGCTGTATGGGGTATTTTGCAATATGCATGGAGTAGCTCACTATTATATGTGGTATTGAGTTGTAATATGGGATATTTCACTATTTTCTCACTATTATTTCTAGTGTTGTTTGGGGTATTTTGCAATATGTATGGAATATTTCGCTATTGTCACTATTATATGGGTTATTGAGTTGTAATATGGGATATTTACTATTTCTCATCATTAAAGTGTTGTTGTATGGGGTATTTTGCAATTTGTATATATAGCTCACTATTGTATGGGGTATTGAGTTGTAGCTAGGAATATTTCACTTTTTCTTACTATTAAAGTGCTGTTGTGTGGAGTATTTTGCAGTTTGTCTGCAGTAGCTCAGTATTATATGGGGTGTTCAGCTGTAATATGGGATATTCCACTATTTCTCACTATTATATGTGCTGTTATATGGGATGTTTTACCATTTGTATGGAGTATTTCACTATTATGACTATTATAGTGAGGTATTCAGTTGTAATATGGGATATTTCACTATTTATCTCTGCTGTTGTGTGGGGTATTTTATTATTTGTACGGAGTGTTATACGTATTCTATCATATGGGACATCCCTTTGTTGAACGTGCTATTGGTCGTTCTAGTTCGCGCTTAGCTCAGACGAAGCAAAATATAAAGGCTGTAGCCCAATAACACGACTGTTACGGGAATTAGTCAACAGCAGCAGGTTGTGAGCGAAAGTTGATTCTGAACGGGTCTGTCAGGATTAGCATTTTTAAAATCAATTTTTGTGCGCAAAGAAACTGCGCTTAATCCTCCATCCTACACGCGTTTTTCTGACGCGCGCCGTGTCTGCAGGTGCTGGTGAACATCGGTAATCATTTCGATCTGAAGGCGAGCGTCTTCACGGCGCCGAGGAGAGGCATCTACAGTTTCAGCTTTCACGTGGTGAAGGTGTACAACAGACAGACCATACAGGTGAGCAGAAGCGCATGCTTTAACCCCCCGCAACCCTTTACACCCCCCTCAAACAAACTCCCCCACCCTTCCAGTGTTGGTCAGCGTCCAAATGTATCCAAATGCGCCTGTACGCATTTGGCGCGTTTTTACGCGCGGCCCCTATGGCCACCCAGAGCAGTGCAGGTGAATGGATGACGAATGGATGATGAAGTGCTGATCAAAAGGATAATGAAAGGATGATGAGTGAGCTCTGTGTCGTTGTTCAGGTGAACCTGATGCAGAACGAGTACCCAGTCATATCGGCGTTCGCCGGAGATCAGGACGTCACGCGGGAAGCTGCGAGCAACGGAGTGCTGCTGATGGTGGAACGAGACGACCGGGTGTATTTGAAACTGGAGAGGGGAAACCTCATGGGAGGATGGAAATATTCCACGTTTTCTGGATTTCTAGTGTTCCCGCTATAACTGCTCTCACCTCCGCCTTGTTCTGAAGAAGATGAAAACCCGAACCTGGCGACGCGAGTGGCGCGTAAACCCAAAACATACGAGTATAAAAACACAACAACACACGAAACAAAAGAAAAACAAAAGAGCAAAGCTAAATACGGACTTGTGAACGCGTGGAGTTTTATGATCTATATTATCCTGCATCCAAGTGGCCAGCGCAGACTCGAGGATGAAACTTTTAAGACGCTGATGCTGATTGGTTGTTGGATTTTATCCATGGGGGGAGAAAAACCTGTAAAACTTTCTCCAACTTTGGCCTGGACATCTCTACACTAGCACTATAAAGGCGAAGCTGTTCTGTTTAAGACGAGAAACTCTAAACCCTGAACTGCGCGCGTGTAATCGATGCTTCACGTCGTTTGTGTACAGCCTTAAGTGGAGCTGAGGACGATCCAGAGTCAAGAGAGCGAGAGAGTGAGAGAGAGAGAGAGAGCTTCTACAGCCTGAAGCATTTTTTTGCACGAACGGAAGATTCCAGTTTTTTGTGGTGTTTTCATGGTGTTTCGTTTGGATGCTGAACATATTTGGACAAGATGCCAAAACAGTGGGCCGCCTACTATACGGTGATCATTAAAAGAGAGAGAAAAAAATACATATATACATATATAAATATAATAATGGAGACATCTTAAAACTTTTACTGACCGTCTATCTAATCTATACCAATTCATAATCACATGGTGTGTGCTGCTACATTCCAGATTTGCGTAACTTTGACTGATTTAGTGTTCAGTGACATTGATCACAAATGTGCATTGTGGGTAAAAAATGAGAAAAGAAAAAAATCCCTATATGATGTCCCGCCTAATAAAATATTGTATTGTACGCGTATCTATTCAGTCTTTTTTATTATTATTATCATCACTACAAAAATCCTATTTTATGCACACTCGTATTGCCTAACAACACCAATTAATAACTGACTAACTAACTAACTAACTAACTGAATAACGAACTGACAAAATAAATAAATAAATAAATGCACATACATTCAATTTCTTTACGAAATTATTAATTAGAGATAATGATGAGCTCATGTAAAAGCAAGAGGCTTATGTGGCCTATTGGTTTTAATGCTGGCAGCCCATCTCTACGGTGCTGAACTATCAGGTTATTTCCCCTTTAATTCAGGCACCAGGTGCTCTCCATGGTTCTGAAATAAAACAGCCCATTCCAGCCTTTATTGAACACTCGGCGCTCTCCATGGTGCTGAATTCAAACAAGGTTAACGCTTAAACGGATTTGAACACACGTGCACATATGTTATAATAAACATATAAAATCTAAGATCTAAACATGTTCTCATTCTCTAATGCTTGAAGGACAATTCCACCAATCTTTTTAAAATTTCAGTGTAACTCAGTGGTTGAACAACAGTCATTCAGTGTGGTTTGATGTGAACTGGTTCATTGTAGAAACTCAGATTTCTTTATAGTGGTGGTGATAGGAACCAGGGGTCGTGATGTCTACTCAAAACTATCTTATAACAATGTCTCAGACATCAGGCAGCGCACTGACAACCATTTCATGTACAACTTTATGTGAGGGAACTTTTAGAGGTGGACGTCTGGTTCCTATCACCACCACTGTGAACAATTCTGACTCTCTAGGAGGGAGCATTACACACCAAATCGCTCTGAATGACTTTACATCTTAAGTTTTATCTTTATGTGGGAATTTTGGAAAACTGGTGGAATCCCCCTTGAGGCATAAATCAGTATAATATGTATGACCAACACAAATTGTCTTATTATACATGTGTATGAATTCTATCATGGAATATTGTTAATTAGTTATTAATTCCTTTATATTAACTCCTAATAATCCTCAGTATCTCTCTCTCTCTCTCTCTCTCTCTCTCTCTCTCTCTCTCTCTCAAACACACACACACACACACACACACACACACACTATTACACATACAACCAAACTCACCACAAATGCTGCATTGACAACAAAGTTCATATTTAAATAGTAAAAAAAAAGGAATCATAGACCTAAATCAAGTTTACTTTCACAGTGAATGGGACAATACCTTGCTCAAAGGACCCACGTTGTAAAAAAAAATAAAATAAAATAAATTCCCTGATTTTTTTATTAGAGGGTTTGTTGTAGTATGATTACATTGTTAAAGTTTCAAAGCCCACAATTTACTCCCAACTCAACGCAGTGTATAAATGGAAGCAAAGCACATTTGGAATTCATTATTTTGTGATGTCACGAAAAGTATCTGCCTGTTCAGCAGTTTAGTCCCACCCACTTACAATGAAGTTATATAGAGTGTTTCAGCCTGGACTATTTTTTGACTAAGGCACAGCCAATCAGAACAGAGTTTAATTACACATCAGCCTTAAAGGCACAATAACAAAAAACAGACTATTTTCGTACAGAAACCCATACAAACATTTTAAGTGGGACCTAAGAGAAACAAATGAAATGCAAGGAAAGTGTAGGGGTTTTGTATTTTCATTTCATAAAAGACAATCAGATCAATCTTTACTGATCTGCTAATAATCTAATCTAATCTAATCCAATCTAATCTAATCTAATCTAATCTAAACTAAACTAATCTAATCTAATCTAAACTAATCTAAGTTTCATTAAAAACCCTTTATAATTAAGGGATGAATGTGGTAAACATTACTCTTATTACACTAACATTACACTATCATCATTATTCTGGTTTAAAATACCCATAAAGAGTCATTAATTTTGATTAGGTATTCTTGATGAACATTCTTTGGTGATATTCTCAGGTAAATAGTTACTAAACTGCAGTGGAACACGGAGTGGAACGTCTTCAGCACCTTTACTTTAGCAACATAATTGGACCATATTGCATTGCAATTACGTTTTCACAATATCTTTCTTAAGATGTATTTTAATTACTTTATATACATACTTCAATTACTAATCTGCTAATAATCTAATCCAATCTAATCTAATCTAAATTTAATTAAAAGCCTTTATGACATCACTACACTATCCTCATTATTGTTTGGTTTAAAATATCCATAAAGAATCGTTCATTTGACATTGATGTTTTGGGCAAATGTTCTCTTGTGTTCTCAGGAAAAAATGTGCTAAACTGTCACTGCGGTGGAACACTTAAGAACATCTTAAGAACCTTTAATTAGGCAACATAACTGCACCACATTCCACTGTCATTATGTTTTTATAATGTCTTGCTTAAGATGTATTTTATTTACTTTAGACAATCTGATCTCGAATCTTGAATACTGATCTGCTGTTAATCTGATTTGATCTAATCTAATCTAACCTAATCTAATCTAATCTAAGTTTAATTAAAAAGCTGTTATGATTAAGAGATAATGTCATAAACATCACCACGCTATCATTATTATTGTCTGATTTAAAATACACATAAAGAGTTGATGATTTTGATTATGTGTTCTCGATAAATGTTCACTCCTGTTGTTCTAAGGTACTGAACTGGGACTGCAGTGGAACACTGAAGGGGGTGTCTTTAGCACCTTTACTTAGGATAGTTATACTATATTCTATTGCAAATATGTTTTTACAATATCTTGCTTAAGATGTATTTTAATAACTTGTATTTTAAAAGACAATCTGGTCTAGAATATATTGATCTGCAAATAATCTAATCTAATCTAACCTAATCTAATCTAATCTAATCTAATCTAATCTAATATATCACTGCTGTCTGAACAAAACCTCATATCTCCAAATTGATAACTTTACAGGAGAAGGAAAAAACATACTTTACTTTTAATGTAAGTTAATGGAACCAGAGATTTTTCCAAGTGATTTTGATTCATTTATCTCATTTCATTCATCATGAAATTTACATTCAATGTAAAGAGCAACAGGTATTTTCAATTTATGTTAAAAACTGAAAAACGACAAAAATTGAGATACAAGGTTTTCTTTTGACAGCAACGATATGCTACTCCACTTCTCTTCTATTCTCTTCTCTCTCTTCTCTTCTCTTCTATTCTATTCTATTCTATTCTATTCTATTCTATAGATAGTTTATCATATAGTTGAATTAAAAAGCTTTTGTGACATCACCACACTATCGTCCTTATTGTCTGATTTGAAATACCCATAAAGAGCCATTCATCCTGTGTTCAGTAAGTGTTCTCGATAAACATTCTCTCATGTTGTTTTTAGGAAAAAAGACTGTCAATGTGGTGGAAAACTAAATAGAACATCTTAGGACATGTAATTGGACAATATTCCATTGCAGTTAGAGCTGGTTTATATGGCAAAAATGTCCCAAATATCACAGTACTTCAAGAAGTTGTGTCATGAACACAATATGTCACAATATTTATTTTTCTGACATCTGATAAGTAGAAACATACAAAGTAGTACCACCTTAAAAATAATATCAAGAAGTATCAGTATAATAATTTGTATTTGTAGCATATCACATACATACACAGGACTAATGATGCTTTCTTTATAATCAAACATGCAGTGTTGTTTAAGTGCTAACGATGTCTGCCTTATGATCAGAAAAGCATGTAGGGATACATTGTGAGGTAATTTATCATGGTAATGATAAATATTGTCATATTGCCCAGCAATCATGTTTAGATATTTATATACATATATGTGTGTTTGTGTGTGTGTGTGTGTGTGTGTGTGTGTGTGTTTAAACCAAAAGGTACAAATATGTGCTGTTCTTCTGCGAAAGTGAATGTAGTGCAGCTTTAAGCCTAATTTAATATTAGGACCTTGAGGACAAAGTCATACTATTGACTTTTCTTACACTGTAATTTCCAACAATTCTCCCATTCAAATTCATACATGACGTGCACTGACAGCAGTGAAATCACTTCACACAAGGAAGATACAACGTTGCAGCATTTATGTATTTTTAAATTCATGCACTGAGCATTAGAATTTCTACACTGCATGTGTGCTGGAGTGGAGGCTAATGTTAGGCAGCATTATAACAATAGCATTGTTTATATTCTCTCCCTAATTTACAAACTACCAACAAATAAACAAACAAATAAATCAATACATAAGCAGAATCAGTTTTATTTTACACATACATGGGACTTGTCTTGAAAGTACATCACATGTAATATACTAGAAAAACAAACAACTGCTATGGTTTTCAAACAATACAGCCATAACCAAACATTATTAACAGTTCATCAAAGAAGTGGTTCCTGATGAGAGCAATTAACTCTGAGTTAAATTAAGATGCAAGAATGCTGAATCTGTGAATTTGTAGTTATTAGCTTCTTTCCATCACTTGCTGGATGCAGTTTCCAATTTTATTTCATATCTTAAGGGGAATAAATAGAGGATAAAAGAGCAACATGCATGATATTTTGTTAAGTTTAAGGAATAAACACAGAAGTTAGCATTTAGTTAACATTAATTAGGAAAAGTTAGCATTCGTTAACAGGATGCTATCAGAGATTAGCATAAATGGGTTAGCTTGTTGCTTCATGATGGTTCATGATTATTGTTAACATAGTTAACATTGATCAAGAGGAGTTAGTATTCATTGACATGTTAAAGTATGTGTATTGTGCTAATGCTATTGTCAATTAGCGTAAACCAGTTATGTAATATGCAAATATGCAATATGCAAAACTAAAGGTAGTATTTAACATTAGCTAATTTTAATTAAGAGCAGTTGGAATTAATTAACATATAAGCTAATGGCTTTAGACAGCACTAGTATGCAAAAAAAAAAAGCCTGGAGTGCACAAATTCAGAAGCTCACAACAAATGTTAGCATAAGTTAACATTATTTAAAAGGAGTTAGCATTCATTAGCATGTTAAAGTGTTTGTATTGCATTGATGCTATTGCTGATTACTG